TCTCTCTCTCTCTCTCTCTCTCTCTCTCTCTCTCTCTCTCTCTCTCTCTCTCCCTCTCTCTCTCTTTGTGGGGTTTGACAAAGTTTGCCAAATTAGTCGGAGGTCACCGGAGGGCTACGCTCTCCAGACTGTACCCCGGTATCCAAAGATACGATGGGCCCAAGTGGACATCGGAAGTACTATAGGATGTACGAGTACAGTTCATCGGTTGTATTTTATGTTATTTTATTTTGTGTTGTGGGTAATTTTCTAATTACTATTTTTTTAGGGGAAGGAGAAAGATAGCAACCGATGAAAAGGGAAATAGGAGACTGCGGGTCCATAGCCAATATTCAGAGTATGAGCGCGAATGGAAAAAGCGAACTCCAGAATTTGGGGAGCGAACTGTGGAAGTAGGCAGAGTTACCACTCCATATCCAACACGGGTTTCACTAAAGTAAGAAACGAGAATAGAAATACCGAGAAGAAAGGACGGATGGTGAAGCGATGGGGTTCAGGCAAAGTGGGAGGTACAGAGGTAAAGGACAAATGGAGGGAAGAAATGATTGAAAGTGAGCGAACCAAGACAGACTGCTTGGGGGGATACAGGAGGCGGGAGAAAGAAAGTTGGCGATAGGCGGCCTAACTGAAGGAACCAGTAATGAGAGAGGAGGGACAGTATAGAGGGAGGGTAGAGAGCAAAGGGAGTAGAGCCTCTCACTACACCATGGGAGAATCAATGAACCGAGACATGAAAACGAAGCAGGTAGATCGAGAGTATTTAAGGACTATGGGAGATGAGACTTCCATCTCACGGAGGCATTGTGTTTTTGTTGTGCTGAGGCATAGCCTTCTGAAGAGCTTGTTGGGTACGCCAACAGGGAAATGTGTCGGGGCATTGCATACATGATGGAGGGCTACGTAGCACCGTGTTCGCGTTCGGAGGAGAACGCGAACATGTTCGCCCGAACGCGAACAAGCGCCCAAGAACCTCCCAACGCGAACATAAAAAATATTTAAAAAAAAGAAAAAAAGTTCTCAAAAAATTCTGAAACAAATATATGTTATGTAAACTAATAAAACAAGCAACGTTTGCCTTGGAGTCATGTTCAAATTCTCAGCCAATCATGAGTTAAAAATCAAAAACCGATTTTTTTTATTTTTATTTTTTTTACGAAAAAAAAATGTGTTCGCGACCTGTTCGGACGAACATGTTCGCGGCCTGTTCGCGCGAACACGTTCGCACGAACATGGAGGGGTGCGAACACATTCGCCGTGCTACGCAGATGTAGGGGATGTGTTTGTTTTGGCGCGAGGCTCGATACATTTGTAAGCACTTCTTCGTCTTCGATCTGTTTTGGTGTTGATGTATGGAGTGTAGTACATGAAGAGTTGCAGATCGTGTACTACTTCTACTCCATCTTTGAGTCGCTCTTAACGTGGTAACCGTCGTATTAGATACTGGAGCGGTGGCTACGAACCGAAGTTGGATGCGAAGTCCGATAAGAAGATCGCTGAGAAGTACAATGCGGAGTGCGCTACGAAGGACGTCATGCGCTATGTGGTGTATTGAGCACTTAGAATGCTGATTCCTTCGCTACAGCGTATTCACCTCTATATATTCATCCTATTATCTCATCCTCGTATCTCGCCTATCTCGTCACGAGGCAAATGCACGTTCAAACACTTCGACGTACGAGTGATCTCACTCTCTCTCTCTCTCTCTCTCTCTCTCTCTCTCTCTCTCTCTCTCTCTCTCTCTCTCTCTCTCTCTCTCTCTCTCTCTCTCTCTCT